AGCATTATTGTACGACTTGCCACCGAACAAAACCCTATCAACGGTTCGAAACAACGGTAAGAAGAGCGTAAGTCACGCGTAACAGTTGCTCTGTGCTGCAACGCAAGTGACTCTGAAAAGCTAGAGCCCATGATCATCGGGAAGTTCGAAAAGCCAAGGTGCTTTAAGGGTGTGGTGATCGAGAAGCGTGGCATCGTATACGCTGCGAACTGAAACGCCTGGATGACAGTAATTATCTTTGATAAGTGGCTCCATCAATTTAATTTTCGAATGAATGGCCGCAAAGTCCTGCTACTTCTCGATAATTCTTCCATTCACAAGGTCCAACGAGAACTCAACAACGTCAATGTGGTATTTTTTACGCCTATCATGACTTCCACTATCCAGCCGCTCGATGTAGGTACCATTTAATCGCATATTCATATATGTGCGTCTTTAATCTACATTCATCTCCTCACCTCCATATATGTTATATAGGTACCATCTGATCATTTAAAGCTCGCTACAAGAATCTTTATAGGCGATGGCGCATGGATCTAATCGAAGCAAACACGTAACGCAGACTTAATGGCCTAGAAGCCATTGAGTTTGCAGCTGAGATCTGGAACAGTATTAGCGGGGAGAGCGCTCGAAGTTGCTGGATCAAGAGTGGGACCATCGAAGCGCCACAGGGTGCGTGTAACAGAGCACTGGTGACAACGTACTGGTTGAACAGCAAGGAGCTCACTTCCGCTGACAACAGTGATAGTCAGTGCCCTGCTAAGTATTGCACCAACAAAGAGGAAGGAAAGGAGACTAGTGAACACGCTAGTCTCTGGTAAAAGTAAAAGTGTTATTTGATATAATTAGGTCCCATCAATCTTACGCCTCTGTTTATCTTAACTTAATTATATTAATCTAACTGAAACGGATGATGACGTCCACGCACCACCCATTGCGCGCGTCTAGCACCGATTGGTGGGTTGATATCTTCACGATATTAACCAATGAGTGGACACTTCGGTCCCTTTAGCAATATCATCATGCTCTGTGATTTGTTGAAAGAATATTCAACGTAATATTTTTTATTGTCATTTCAGCCTGAATGACAATATCATGTAACGAGCCACCCCGTTACATTGCGGATTTGCGTGCACAAAACGACTATCGACATTCCAGCCTCGCCTTCCAACAAGACTGCTGCGATCTGGCTGATATGTTTCAAAATCTTGGTGTAACCGTTAGCGTGGATGATTATGTCGAAATCGAGGACCATGAGCAGATTCACGAAGAACAAGAAGATCTGATTGAAGCAGAAGTGGAGCCCGCGGAAGTCGAAAGCGACGAAGATCAAGCGCCTGTCAGTGCAAAAGAAGCACTAAAGTGCTGCCTGCTTTTGCGTTCGTACTTCATACGCGCAGATGAGGACAAGCGAATCATACAGTCAGATCTGGATAAGATGTCGTCGGTTATTCGCAAGAACCGGCACGCTAGGGCGGAACAGCTTGACACGAGAGACTTCGTATAGTAGAAAAACGTTACATTTCATTAGAATCGGCGGGTCACGCTTTATGGAATATCATGCAACTTCTTCCTTTCCGATTCTCTAACCGAGACTTTTAATAAGACACGCTGTAAAAATTGGGCACAAAGTTGTCTCTTATAGAGAGGTGAGTGTAGTCCTGAATAAGTACTACCAGAGGACTTATAATCCGACGGCTGACACGTATCAGCCCTCATAAACATTTAAGGTCTGGGAGGTACTTTTTATCGAGAGGTTTTCCTCCGTGGTGTGTCCACAAAATCAAACCGGTAGTAAAATGATGTACGATCGACACGTGACAATTGATGTAGCTCGATGAATCTTCGTTGGCGTTTGTCTCGTACCGTCGTAGCTGCATCATATGTCTGGCTATAACCAAAGAGGCGTGCGACGATCACCAATTTGCAATAGGCCCGTCCTACGAGAGCAGCCGTTGCAGAAGTACTCGCCCTTGCTGACAGGACCTTAGTGTCGTTTCAGGTGGAGATGGCGTGTGTGGTGTCGATCAAACTTGCAGCAATGGCAGACGTTTTACTTCAACACCTGCACCTGTACCTTCTTCACGCGAGTGCAATACTCATCGTCTGTTGCTGTGTCACTAGATAAGACATTACAATATCTGCACGCTGTCCTTGCCGCTTCCTTCATGGTGTTTACCAGCGTGAAAAGCGCGCCAAAACTTACTTATCTGCCGCGTCATGCTCTAGAAGCCCGAGTCCATCAGAATCCCTGACGACCACGAGAATATAGGCCGCTCGTAGGCGAGACCACTGGCTCGACAGGGAAGTTCAATGACGACGTGTCAGACGAACGCTGCCCTCTTATCTTGAACGGATCACTAGTTGACGGCCAGCCTCATCTTAAGCGTCTTTACTCACCATCCGAATCATCGCATGGCGCTTTTACGTAGCCAATGTGAAGTAACGCACTAGTGCTATGCGGTGAATCGGATGGTGAGTAAAGACGACTTGGATGAGGCTGGCTAACAAGTCCATTTCGACGCAGGAGGAAAGGCCTATAGCCGCTTTTGCAAACAGAGTCGGTGCATTCTTTGCCAACATCATCGGCTTAATGAGTATTCTGCACATGCTTGCGAGGCTGCTCCCATCGAGGGGTATATTAGCTCGTTACAGCGTCCGCGGAGTGACCCGAGACGCACATATATGTAATGCTTATATCACCATTGCATCCATCCCGGGGCGACTTGCGATCTCGCGTGACAATGTTCTGGGCTCGAAGCCGGACAAAGGAAATGTCGTTCGGCCGACCTCTCCATTCGATTTCACGATTCTACCGCCTCTATGGGGCACAAGAAGCCAGCGAACGACGCTGCGAGTGGAACTTCAAGCGCAGCTACGGATGTGCGGCGATCGGTTGCGACTTGGTCGGCAATAACGTGTCGAGACGTGGCTTTTCGGCCATCTCTGTCGCTCAAGCTGAGATCCTGGCATCGGATATGCTGACATGGAAGCTACGACGGCTATGGCAGTAACGCTATCTGGACCGTGCTTGGTCGCACTGGGGTCTCCTTGGCACTGGTCATCTTGACCATTGTACGAAAAGACGCGTTCTCCGGCACGTCGGACTGACTCGGTTGGCACGTCGGTGTACGAGAAGAGGCCTGCGTGGATCGTCATGTCGATGTGTTTGTTCTCTCGGCTGCTACGTAACGTTCTTGTCGAATAAAGACCCGTGTGCGACGTCGGACGCGCTTGTGTCCTTCCCGTTTGTTGTACGCGTAGCCCACGCACGGAGAACAACACGCGGTCAACGACAATTGCATCAGCGAGCGGGACGCAGTAATTGTTCCGAGGAACCTCATCTGCACAAGCGTCACACACGCTCTTTCTCGCTCTCGGCGCTAGCGCGATCAACTGAGCTGCTGCCACAACCATCGACGACGTCAGCTGTCTTGGCACCTGACGCGGTCCTGCAGGACAGAGCTTTGCGTTTCAGAAGAACGGGTTCAGTATCTACAAAACTTCAAGGCACGTTCCGTATCCACCACGTCCTACTTGACGACAGGACCAGTCTTTGGTAGCACGTAGCAGCTGCTTGATTCACAAAGCTTTCCAGTGTTTCGCTTACGCGTGTGCGCTACCAGTCAATGCTCACCCATACACTACGCCTTTGCAAACACCCACGACCACGACCACGACCTCGCCCCCTCCCCCTCATCGTCTCTCCATCTGTGCTTGTCGGTGGTAACCCTCTCTGAACGCACCTACGTACGATCGATGCACGTTCCGCACACACATAGATCGTGGCACCACTTTTGTTGACAAGATCGGACACGTGGCTCGACCTTGTACGCACTACTACTACACGTGCTTGAGCGCTTGACCGCGTGTGTATTGCTGACGCTATTCGACACGCAATGACGTCCTCGACCATCCAGCAGCAGCAGCAGCAGCAGCGCCACCACCGTCGACATCGACCCGTCAATTCCATCGTGCCGGGCGCACTGAGGAATGCTCGCCACGTGAGACTTTTCGTCACGGATCGATAGACGAGTCGCCTCGGCATACACGTGACGGGAGACGAGTCGATGCGGACCTTCTCTTCCAGCCGTCGATCGAGTTCAACGTGAGCAGGGCAGCACTTGCGTGAAAACCATGTGATGCGACTGTCACGTGGGAAAGAAGTCGTAGAGGCGAAATGAGATACAGTCTCATGCACGTACGAGTCCAAGCAGGCACTCGGCCCATGACGGACTGACTGATCGACCGTCCCTTGGCCTCGTTTGCCCCCTTCCAGTCAACGCCATTGCATGTCCTTCCGATCGATCCAAAGCGTCGTGCGAGACGACCAGTCTCAAGCTGGTGCCTCTGGCAGACACGCAACCCCTTGACCCAGCTCACCGAGAAGCTCGTCGCGACAACAGACGTCCGGACATCTAGCGGTCGGCTACACGACGTGCAAAGCAACGACTTTACATTGCGGCGTAGCGACTCGTTCCTTCAAGCCTTGCAGTCGCAAGGCTCTCGCTCCTTCACTACCAATGAAGAAGGGGCTGGCACGAACTTCGTAGGCAGCGAAGCGCGTCTCTGCACGCGCTGTAACGAGGCGCGGGTGGGGAGAGCGAGGGCGCTGTCCCATCCCATGGCGACTGCCGCAGCACGCAGTTGACATGATTTGTTGTAAGAAAGAGAGAGAGGAGCGGGCGGGCGGGTGACGGGGTGGCGAGCGGCTGTCGACCCGACGAACGGCACGGGCCCGTTCTCCCACCATCTCGCATGGCCGTCGACTGGACGCTGACCTATCCCATTTTATTGTGGACGTCCGTCCGTCAAACGGCCAGACAGACAGATAGGTAGACAGCGATCGTTAGACAGACTGGACTCACTGGCGCTCCAAAGTGCGACGCGAAAGCGGCCGAGAGTTGTCGATCAGTCAGTCCCCTGTCCCCGGGCCCCTCTGTTTCTCCGTACGCCTTCCTGTCGATTGACCCACGCAACCTCACTTCGAATCGAGCGACATGGCAGGCGCGTCCCTGTTCCAAGTAGGAAACGATGTCGAGTTCTGGCGCGTGTTGATACACCTGAGTATCTTGGCCTTCTGTCTCGTGGTCTTCGAGGCCTTCCTCCACCACGTCGAGCACAAGCTCTCGCGCTATGACAAGTACCACCACATGCTCCGGAAAGGGTATCGGGAACTCATGGTGCTCGGTCTGCTGAGTCTCGGTCTCAAGCTCCTCAAAGAGGTGCCAGGGATCAACCCCTACAGCAAAACCATGGTGGCGTTCCAGGTGGCCGACTTGACCATCTTCATCCTGGCCCTTGCGCTCATCCTGCAAGCCACGGTCGTGTTTCTGCAGCTTCGCAAGCACAACATCGAAGCCGATCGCATTGAGCTCATCACGGCTCAGGACTTGATCAATGCCATCACGCCGCCAGCTGGCACGCCTCCAATCGCCGCTGCCCCAGCTCCAGCGAGCTCGTCAAAGTGCTTTCGATGCTGGCCGAGCAAACCAGCGAAGGCGTTCGATCTCGAAGTTGTGCAGCGTCGACTGCTTCGTCACTTGTTTCTCCGTCGCTTTGGCTTGCCGCAGCTCTTCCCGTTCTCCAAGTACCTGCGTCGAGCGCAAGCCAACCAGATCACGCACATGATTGAAGTCGAACCGTCCATGTGGGTCTTGCTGCTGGCTGTCGCGTGGATGCTTTGCGGGTTTCTCGATGCTCTCGAGAGTCTGGACATTGAGCTGCCGGAAAAGCACGAACTAGTTGAAGTGTTTGTCGTGTTTGCCTGGGCGCTGGTCGTGCTGCACGCCGTCGTGCTGCTCTACTTGCGCTCGTGCATCCACAGTCTTCTGCTTGCTGCTGGGTACAGTGACAATGAGTCGACGTTGGTCAGCAACCTCCGCTCAGTCGCGGAAGAAGAAGCGGCGGCGTGGCAAATGGAAGCGGCGGACAGCGCGCTGAACACCATGAATCGAGTCCAAGAAGAGCTCGAAGAGATTGAAGATAATCGTAACGCCAAACGTCACGTGTTGCTGCGGAAAGACATTGGCCTGCAGCTCGTGGCGACGTGCATCCGCAATATGAATGAAATTGGCGATTCCAAGAAAGCTCACATCGATCAGGCTCCAGGTGGAACGCAGCTGGACGCTCCCGACATTCCGATCCGCTTTTTTTCGCGGAAAGCCTGGCAGGTTATCGTCATGTTCATCCTCCTGCTCAATGGCTTTTTCATTGCTCTGCTTGTGCAGTGTGCCGTGTACGACTTGGACGACATTTACAAGGAGTTTGGACTCTTGCCTGCTATTGTAGTGCCGCTCCCTCTGATTCTCAACACGTTTGTGTTTCAGCAGCATATCTTCCGGTACTTTGTCGTCGTCTGCAGCATCCTCCGCGTGGACGCCAATACCATGGGCGAGGTAGTATCGCATTTCAGCGAGGTTGTGGAACTGCGATCCGAGTTTGCGTCGTCTTTGCTCGACTGCTTGAACGAACGCGACTACACGATCATTGATCTGCGAAGAGAGCTCCACGCGTACGATCCGCGACAAACTGGCATGATTGACGTGGAGAAACTCCGTTTGGTTCTTGCAGCATTTGAGTACCGATTGACGCGCTTTCGCCTGAACAGCGTTGCAATGATGCTCTTTGAGCTCAAGGGCACCAAAGTCGAGTATGGCCAGCTCCTTCGACTATTGATGCTCGCACAGAACGATACCTTGACCGAGAGTGGTCGGCCAAGCCAGCGACGCCAGCATCTGCTATTGCGGCATAGCAGTACGTTCGTCGATGGACGGGCGTCTTCGGGTGCACGGTCGAATCGAGTGACTCTGCGCACGCTCTCGAATCATGCAACCCCACCTCAAGTGCCTTTGCTGTCTCGACCGAGCATGGAACCGGAATCGGGTTTGGGCGATTTCGTGACCATGGCAACTCCAGGTCTGCGTCGTCTGTCACCTACCCGAGCCTCGGGTGCGTGTTCAAACGCAAGAGTGGAGAGCAATCATGGACGGGCTCCGATGCTCGATCGTTGTCAGTCGCACCAGTTCGTGGGCTCAAGTGCTCGCGCGCTCCACGCAATGTTCAATATTGGCGGGGGACCGAGTCCTCAGATGGACCCTGTAACTTCCGAGGCACCATCTTCCGAGACTGCAGTGTGAACGAGCACGAAGGAGGGCAATGTACGTGATTAGAAAAGACGTTGGTGCACTTGACAAGGCACATTGGAAGTCGCGAAGGGTTTGTACGAAGGCAAATAATGTCATGTCGTAGATCTTGTGTTAAACTGTAAATCGCGAGTTTTACGCCATCGTCTTGACGCACGAATCGTGCCCATGAATTACACCTCTCCATCCTCTTCACCTCTCCATCCTCTTCACCTCCTCCATCCTCTCTCCTCCTCCTCCATCCTCCTCCTACTACTCCTCCTCCTCCTCCTCCTCCTCCTCCTCCTCCTACTACTACTACTACTACTACTACTACTACTACTACTACTACTACTACTACTACTACTACTACTACTACTACTACTACTACTACTACTACTACTACTACTACTACTACTACTACTACTACTACTACTACTACTACTACTACTACTACTACTACTACTACTACTACTACTACTACTACTACTACTACTACTACTACTACTACTACTACTACTACTACTACTACTACTACTACTACTACTACTACTACTACTACTACTACTACTACTACTACTACTACTACTACTACTACACTCACCCCTTTCTATAAGAGACAACTTTGTGCCCAATTTTTACAGCGTGTCTTATTAAAAGTCTCGGTTAGAGAATCGGAAAGGAAGACGTTGCATGATATTCCATAAAGCGTGACCCGCCGATTATAATGAAATGTAACGTTTTTCTACTATACGAAGTCTCTCATGTCGAGCTGTTTCGCCCTAGCGTGCCGGTTCTTGCGAATAACCGACGACATCTTATCCAGATCTGACTGTATGGTTCGCTTGTCCTCATCTGAGCGTATGAAGTACGAACGCAAAAGCAGGCAGCACTTTAGTGCTTCTTTTGCACTGACAGGCGCTTGATCTTCGTCGCTTTCGACTTCCGCGGGCTCCACTTCTGCTTCAATCAGATCTTCTTGTTCTTCGTGAATCTGCTCATGGTCCTCAATTTCGACATAATCATTCACGCTAACGGTAATGGTGTTACACGTTGAGGCTGGTAGTCGACAATAGGTGTGGTGCACACAAGGGATGGGATTTCCTTTAAAGTGATATTCGAACACAGTATCAATTGTTGAAGACTGATGTCTGTCAACCATTGATTACGAGATCTTTTGAGAGTTTTTATTTAGAACATTAGCGAGTAGGTTAAGTACAATGTTCTAAGGTGTTCTTTTAGGTTAAAAGAAACAAAGTCTAGTTCCCATTTTGATCCGAAAGACACGTGCCTCTCTGAGGCGTCTAGTGATCGTTTGAGGAGGTAGCAACGCCTTGTTAAGGCAGCTACTCCTTGTGCACTCTGTGCGTTACTTCTCTGGATCGTTTGGTCCCCTTGGAACAGGGACCGTAAGCTCTCTGAGCTTGTCGACTCTTTGAGCCGGGTTGTCTGAACCAAACCTTAGCTCTCTGAGCTTCTTGACTCTTTAAGTCGGGTTCTCTAAACCAAACCTTAGCTCTATGAGATGGTCAGCATTTAAGTCGGGTTCTCTGAACATTAATTTGCTCGTTGAGCGGTAAAGTCTTCCTCTGACTTACGGATCTGTGTATCTCCGCTACACTTGGTAGCACTCGTTGTCAATCTAAGCCTGAGTCGTTACAGCTGATCCTCTGTGAGTATGGAGAAATCCACACCCGTCTCTGAGGCCCAAAAAGTCGCGCTTGATTAGCTCACCGCGGCCGTAGGCCAATAATATGTTGAGTTTCTAGCTGCGCAAAGTTCTGATGTGCTCAATGCACGAGTCGAGACCTTCATGCAGTATAAAACGTCACTGCAAGGATAGGTTTATACCAAGTAGCGTCGGCTATGCCAACACACTACGTGGCGATCCTCCTTCGGGTCGACGTCAAACCATACTCCGGGAAGGAGGGTAAAAACTTGATTATCTGGATCCGAGAGATTGAGATAGCCATGAGCTCTGGCATTATATTACTTGAGCATTAGCGGTTCCCGCGGGCTATCTACAAGCTCGATGGAAGAGCTAGAGAGTGAACTCTGACGTGTGGCACGTCGGTCGACTTGGCGTTTCCCACATGGTATTCGCTCAAGTTAGACCCTTTGCGAGTTTTCTCGCCGCCTAAGCAGTCTTATCGCGTGCACTCACGCTTCTTGTCTACCCGTCAGGGGAAGAATGATTTAACGTACGATGTCCAAGAGCTGAGAACTCTGATGGCTCCTATGCAGTCTGACCCTCTCCCTGAGACAGTGTGTGTGACTGTGTCCATGGAAGGTCTCCGCAATGGTGTTGCCAGAGCCGAGGTCTTTCAGGTCCATCCCTCTACTTTTGAAGAGGCGGTGAGCATCACTCAGAATGCTAAGCACAATTTGAAGTCGGCCAGACTTGGTTGGAATGGGTACACCCCAAGCTTTGTGAGGGTAACCTCTGCGAGCACCTTGGCTTACTGTAAGCCTGAATCGATGGGTCTCAGGCATGCTGAAGATGAAGGCGAGCTGAGCTTCAAGTTGATTAGCAACAACAATGAGACTCTGTTACATGTGCGGAAGCACTAAACACTTGCGTCTCACTTGTCCTTTGCGCAAGCAGTACCAGACTCCCACGAGTCGAAAGCCCGGCCTTAACCATCTATTATGTCACGGGGAAATGTCGACACCCAGTAGGCGCGGGGTGCCCTACTGGGGTAGAACTGAATTCTGTCACTCTCTACGAGGTAGAGAGAAACAGGGCTTACCCCCACTCAGCTCTTTGCCCGCCAGCACAGAGCGTCGATACAATCCTGGCTTGTTAGTCGCCGAAGCGAAAGTCAAAGGCTTTGAGAAGCATTGGTAGATCCTAATCGACTCCGAGGCATCATGCAATTATGCTCGACGTCTTTCCCTTGAGGGAAGTCAGCGATACGCTGAAGCGCTAAAGCGCATGAAGGTGATTCGATCACCGTTCGTTTAGCGACTGGTAGTCGCGCCACGGTGCCTAAGTTCCGTTAAACTTAGATGTGAAGTTTTTGGACTTTGACAGCATTGAATGCTGTCTTGTTCTCGATTTGGGCTCGAGATATGATCTCATCCTGAGTATGTCTTGGCTTGAACGCCATGAGCCATTGGTTGATTGAAAGTCTAAGCCCTTCGACGCCACGCGCAATGTTTCTAGCGAAGCTTTGGAGAGTCATGAACCCACCTTTGCAAGGCAACAAAAGCAATATCGGCGCGAGCCATTGACGGAAGATGTCAATGTGCTGGACATTGGTATGTCGGAGTTAATTAACTCCAATTTCAAGGACATTATAATTAAGCGGAGCTCTTTCACCGTATGTGAAGAGTGTCGTACTCCGTTGAGTGATACTCGTTGTGACAATGAGTCACTTCATGCTGCAGGCATGGTTGGCCTAGGGCCGAGACATCAAGAATATAATTCCTCTGATGTGAGTGGGGTGGCACGTGAAAATCCACCGGGTGAGGACGGCGGAGATGGTACCTCACTGAATGTGTGTAGTGCCATTGCTGGCGAGAAGCCAGAGTGTTCAGGGCTAGGCACGGATGCTGTAAGTGAAGTGGTACGTGTATATCCACTAGGTGAAGTGTTCGAGTTACGTAACACTTTACCAGATGTCGTCCAAGACATGAGCTCTCGTATAGAGCGTGCTAAAATTAATAGCAACCACGGGGACCCTACTGTCCCGGCCTCGTGGAGGCGTAAGGTTGCTATGGGAAAACAATCTCAGCGTCGGGTATCAAAGGCTAAGCGCCCAACGTCTAAGAAGTCACGAAGTGATAATAGTGATGATACACTATATACACTTGTCAATGGGTTGACTGACCATGGTGATGGCAATATTAGTCGTGAGACCCTCCCATCCTTGGATACACGCTTTGACCTGGATAAAATGTCCGACGGCGAATTTAGCCAAGCCTTGCAGGCAGAAGTATTATCCGAGTTAGTTGTCATTCGACCTGATATTGAGTTGAACTCATCCTCATTATTGGACGATTTTTTCCTTGAAAACACAAGGGTGGTACTGGGTGCCCGTCGTGGTTCTTCGATATTAAGGATACTCTTGATACGCTCTATTATTTGGTAAAGGGGTTTCAAGACGTGGTGTGTAACAACCCACCGTCCGTCTTACCTCTCGATAAAATGTGTTCGTCATGAAATTGACTTAGTTCCTGGAACTAAATGCTGCGTAATACAACAGTGGCATTTGACACAGGAACAGTGGGAAGTCATTGACGAATTCTATATTGCAAATCACGCGGCTGGTATGGAACGTGAGAGCAAATCTCTTCGTTCCACACCGACCTTCTGTGTCAAAATTCCCAATGGGAAGTGGCGCATTGTTCATGCTTACAATAAGCTTAACGCAGTCACCATCCCAGCTCAGACACCAATCCCGAGGAAGGATGTCCTTTAGAACAATATGGTGGAATGTAAAAATGTACAGTGCGCTCGACTTAGTCGATGGTTATTACCAGCTTCTCATGAGAGAGAGCGATTTTCCGCTGACAGCGGTCAGCACTCCAAGCGGTATGCTCTGGTGATGGCTTGTTATGCCGCAAGAGTTATCAAATGCTCCGGCTACATTCAATCGTCTTGTGACACAATTGTTCAGACCTCACAGAGGTTATGCACATACAAACTTTGATGACATCTTTGTCCATAGTCGTGCTATGAACGGTCATTCAGATGTGGACAACCACATTGACCATTTACGAGCGGTGCTCGAGTGCATGCGCACAAATAAGTTGTATGCCAACGCATCTAAGCGCATTTTTGTGCCGTAGAAATTTCATTTTAGGGTAATTTATTGAGAAGCGAGGACTTAAAGCCGAAACCGCTAAGGTAAAAGCCATAGTTGATTGGCCGGTTTTAAAAAACAAAAAGGACATACGTAATTGGCTTGGCATTGATAATTACTTGCACAAGTACAGTGCGAATAACTCAGATATGGCTCGGCCATTATCCAATTTCCTTAACAAGGATGTGGAATGGTGCTGGACTAGCA